ATGGTCCTGTCGGTTGTGCCAATGTAGCATTCCACGACAAGCGGCTGTACACCCAAAGTACGATATCTTCATTCTCATTATTCATCTTCCCCCCACCTCTACCAAATCTGCCCTTCGTGGTACTGTTGCCCGCTATATATGTGACGACTACTTCATTTTTATTATTGTTTCTGAAATACAGGGAAAGGCACTTGGCGTTGGCACTTCCATATTCTTCCCGCTCAAATATCGCATGCAGATGGTGGTTGCTTGGTGCTCTTATAGAAAGCACTGGTTGTTGTCATTTGCAATTTTTCGTTCGTCCAGACTTTGGGTTGCCCCTGGTGCCGGAAGAAGTGCATTGCAGCTGTTCATAGTAGCAGCGCCTCTCGTATAGGAGTAGAGCGATCGCTTGTGCTGCCGTCACTGTTAGTTGTTTAAATGGCAAATCAGCGTTTCCAAATCAGGCCAGTGGCCTTATAAGGAGACACCTCGAAACAAGTAGCCTGCAGGACTGACGATGGTGAAAGTGAGTCAGCTGCAAGAGAAGATAAGAATACGGAGAACTGGGCTCGACTCAGCAGTTGCAACAGTGATGCACACGGTGAAGCATACGAGGCTGCGAGTCAAGTCCCGCCTGCGCTAGGTCTCGTTTTCGCCCAGCTTCGTTTATTGCGTTATGAAATATATGGGCACACAAGGCGGGTTTTCGGAATCGCTGTCATGTTCCGTACGAAGTCCTAGTCGATAACATCACCCCGTGTATTGTATTCTCTACGTGCGGGCAAAAGTGCGCAAGCGCTGTGAAAAAACGTCACTGAAACAAATAAAACGAGCCGGTCATCTCATTTGCACGAAGGGCGAGTTAACTAATGTTGGCCTGCTTGCGTGGTTGCTTCGCAGTAAATGGCGTCAAAAACAGAGAGAAAACACTCCTGCCGCTGCCGCTTTTCGTCGGGCGAATGAGCAGGACGCAGTGCAGAGGTGTGACGCGGAATGGGGGGCTGCGTCGCTCAACAGTGTGGTCAAAGCCTCACGCCCCCAAAGCGAATAAGGGCGTGGTCATGCGTGCCATCTCGGCAGAAATCAGTAGATGGCTCGTAGACTCGGCTGGCTCTCACAGCTTATATCTTGTTGTCAGTACACACAGCCCCGAAAACGACTCGATTACCGGGAGTCGCCATGTTTTTTTTAAGGCAGTGTTTTGTTGAGTTGAGTAACGCGAGATCAAATGTAAAAAGGGCTCACGGCTGGCCTTAATTCTTATAGCATTCCTCTTTGTTGCTACCACATGCTGCCACACGCTTGTGGTGAAACAGTGATTATGTTTTAGGTGGTCATTTCGGCACCTGAAGTAAGCCTACAGAATAAGTTTATTCTGTTTTTTTTGTGACTAAACTGTATGTTTGTTAGTATGGTTGATTAGTTCATGAAGCTTTATCGATGTTTAAGCAATCCCGTTTGCCCAGCAGAAAATACCGCATTCTACGTGAGTACTGCTGCTCAGTTACGTATAAGAATTTCGACTTAGATCATCGGATGCCACGTATGCTTAAATTCAGAGGGGGCTTCATCGACGGAAGCGTGCATAGTTGATATGAAACATGCTTATTTTCACACGGCACGTCTGAGCGACCACTGGGCTCAAGTTTTGTGCCTCGTAATTCCGTGAGTGCCACAGCCAATAGAGAAAAAAATTCTGGAGTTTTATGAACGAATACTTGGAGAATATGGCCAGTTAATGTACTCTCTCGCCTGCTCGAATGTCCCAACCTTGCTAACAAGAGTGACAGCACTCAGTGTCACTCTGTTAGGTGGTTCCCTTAACCAGTGAACATGTACTTTTGCGGCTGACAGTGTCATGTTCACTGACAGCAACCGCGCCCAAATTTTCTGTTTTCTTCCTTGTTCTTAGAAAAGCAAGCGTAATACTCCTGCATATTATTACCACCTGATTGACGCAACGGCGCTAGCCTATGATCGCTGTTTTATCCATGAAATACACTGGAAATCTGAGCTCCATGAAACTGATAAGGCATAGATTCAATTGAGCTCTGATATTCTCGGATATTTTGTGTAGGCGGCTTGAAGTGGTGGTGCCTATAGCAGCATTTTTCATTTGAGATGATTAATTGTACTAACTATACCAGCAATATGCTAGTGTATTCATTGTCGAATCAGCTCAGTGATTCGGACGCCATAAGGTCTAACAAAATATGACAACGTCTCCACGAAAGTGCTCTACTTTTGCTATCAGATATGATGCCACCACATTTATAATATAGCGTGTGTCAAGCGGCTAGCACCGCCACCACATGCCTCTGACTCAATGCTTTGTTACAATGCACGGGCCTGCCAAAGGAACAAAGCAACGCCGGAGCAGTGGGAACATGCCCTGCGTTGCTCGAAGCCTGAAGAACAGCTCCAGCTTGATTGACTGAATGATTAGTGAGGTTTAACGTCCCAAAACCACCTTATGATTATGAGAGACGCCGTAGTGGAGGGCTCCGGAAATTTCAACCACCTGGTGTTTTTGAACGTGCACCCAAATCTGAGTACACGGGTCTACAATATTTTTAACAGCTCCAGCTGACAGACAGAACTAGCAAAATGGGAAATGCCACAAGGGGCCCTGAACTTGCGGTTCTACCTTCAGCGGGAGAATTTCAATGCAAGAGTAGAGATAGATTGATTCCGCACTTGAATACACCAACCCCGAAATCCAGGTCACGATCATTGACCAGGCGGACAAGGTCTCCGCCTGCTGAACGTCGTCCCGACTAACCCCATTTGCTTGACGCCAGATCTTACCACCCCTTGTCTATTTTATAAGCTTTATTTCCTTTTTTTCTCTTGCTTGTCTCCCTGAATGACACGTGCAGCATGCTGATCGTGTTTGCATTTTAAGGCTGGGCTACAACTATAACGCTCCTTATAAATAGACAGACCTATCAGATATACCAACATTTCGAATACCTGCCGACAAGCCAAAAGGGCATTACAGCCACCCCACAAGGAACCACACAGGGCACCAGCGGTGGCCCTACGCTGACTACAAGCAGTTATTTTCCCGATCTTGTTGACCACGAACTGGTACACGAACTGGTTCACAAAAAAGACACATATAAGTATGCAAACAAGAAACTGCTAAACTCAAACACATTCTATAGAAAAGTTATTCTCAATGCCATAACAACAAAAACCCCGAAACCCTTTCACTAAGCTGGACCACTGCTCCGCTCGGCTACAATCTCGGCGACCAGCTCTGGCACATCCAGCAGGCCATAAGTCTGCGCTCTGGGAGACCTCTTAGGAGACATGAGCCCGAGTCGCCTTGAAAACCCGTACGACAATTGAATCAAGTCAACTTACGGTTATATTTATTGCGGGGTGCCACATGGTTCAGATTTGGGCCCTATATTGTTCTCTCTTCATATCAATAATGTCTTGCGATTCCTACAGAGGTCAAGGGCACTGATGTACGCGGACGACACCGTTTCAGTTTTCACAAGACACTCCTTAGAAGATCTACAAAATGACGCGATGACCGATTTATCGAACATTTCAGAATGGTTTGCCAGGAATCAGCTGACTGTTCACTGTACTAGAACAAAGTACATGGTGCTTCACTCTCGTAGGAAATATATTGACGCTGAATCTCTAAACCTAACAATAAACAACGCTTCTATTCAATAAGTTCCTTGTTTTAAATATTTAGGCGTCACTTTTGAAAAGCATTTACACTAGCATGAGCAAGTACAGAGTGTGTGTGCATAGGTAGCCTATGGGTGAAATTTTCTAATAAAAGCTCGCCAATATTTTCTACAAGCTATACTTCGCACACTCTACTCCTCATTATGTCATTGTCACGTAGGTTACTGCCTGGAATCGTGGGGTCTGACGTACAACAGTTATCTAAAAACTCATGAACGACTTCAAAAGTGCACACTGAAAATCATAAGCGAATGTGAATCAGTATGTAATATCTTCCAATCACAACGCATTCTCTCGGTTCTTATGTTGCGGGACTACAAAAATTGCCGTTTCAATAAATAACATAATTAATAGAAGTTCACCTATGCCTGTTGATCTTTTTCAGTTCCTAAACGCAATACGCAACATGCTCTGAATGGTAATTTCAATCGGCCCAAATGTTTTAATGTTTACGGAGAAAGACTGATGCACTTTAATGGACCAAAAATATGGAACAGGATCGCCCTAGAGATTAAAACGGCACGTGATTTCAGCATGGCACGTAAATAACTTTTTTTTTGTGGAATCACGACATGCAATCATGTGTGTGTTTGATTCGATTTTTATTGTATTTTTAAATAAGTGCCTGTGTATAGAAAGCTAGCTGCAAGCTAGTAAGTATGTATGTCTGCACAAAAAATGCATTACGGTGTTAGCATCTGTATTTACATGCTCGCTAGTGTTTGTCACCTCAAAGCTGACCTGTACACTCCTTTATGTTGCACATTGCATTGAACCGTACACTAGGCACTTTAGGCTATCGGTCCAAATAATCCCTGTAATTGCATGTATTTATTCATAAAAATAAAGTTTCATTGATTGATTGATTGATTGATTGATTGAATAAAGTTATAAGAAACCAATCAACAAAGATGCGATGTCGAAATAGTTGCTGAATTTTGCAAGATTGTTTCAGTAATTTACCAAAAACCAGTGAAGCCAACACGCGCCGGTTGGGAAATAACCAACCTGAAATGCGGCAGTGGTGCACGACATCACGAAAAATGAGCACATATGCAAGTGGGTTAGACCTCTATGCAAATCATCTCTGTGTAAAACATCGGCCATTGTGGGCGGAGCTTAAATTTATTCTCAAGTTGTAAGCGACTGTAGAAGTCGTATCAACCGGACACCCATACTCCTCCTGCAGCTGTGTTGAGCGAGTTAACGGAAAGCTTGACAATGCCAGGGTTAAAAGTCTGGTGATTGAATGAATACAGTCTGCTAAATTTAGCCAGAGAGGTTTCTGACGCTTCGATCGTTGCGCCACTATGGAAATTATGGGTAGTACAGAAGTTTGCCCAGCTTTTGCGTTCGCGGCTTAGAACGCATTTGTGTATTTGTTCATTTCGATGCTCTGGCTTTGCTCTGAATAAAAGAACAAACCATTGTGAACTCCGTGACCCGATTTGAATCGGTGAGCTCGAGTGATGTGAAGGTTGGGAAGCGTAACTGCTAATGCTTTGCTGAACTTCGTCTGGTGGCAGAGCGAATCCAAGCCACAAGGTAGCCAAACGAAGCGGGAGGAACGAAGTTTGGAGAAATTTGTGCACTTCCCATTATTCCCATGCTGCCTGAAGCCCCATGTGTTGCGGCTCCCATGAAAAATACTTTCTTCTAGTGTACTTATAGGAAACTCTAGGATTCAATGTACTCGAGTGAAGAAGTACGCGGGCAATGCGCTTGCTTGTGGACTCGGGGTATCGCTTATTCACTGGGTGTCTCTTCCCCTCCCGCGACGATATTCGTATCGTTGTTTCCCTCGTCTTCGAGTACTTCCTGCGGACTTCGGCGGAACCTCTGCCAAGGACTGTCTTTCATGGTGGCAACCTTGAGACGCTTTTGAAAGAAAATGCTCGTGACAACGCCGAGCACGTTGTGAGGCTGATTGGTGATGATACCGTCGACGCCAAGCCTGCGAAGTATTGAAAAACAAAAATATCGGGACTGTGGAAATATTCGAAAATTTTGAATATTGAATCGAAAAGTGTTCTATTAGTCTAATCGAATACTTGTTATTGGAAATACCTAATATCTTTGTAATAGTAGGCGCTGATGAAAAAAAAAATCCTCGAAAGAAAAAAAACTAAGTGTAGTAAAGACAGGGGTAACACTTCTCGTTTTATTTGCTGAATCACCAAGTTGCAATTAGGAGTAGGTTTGACGCCACTGCTCACGCTATATTGATCCCAGATGAAGAAATTTTTGCCTAAAACTCCGGTGCCGAAGTGACAAAGTCCTCATTTCATTATTTTTGTCACGTCATTCATGACGGTGTCATTTTTTATAATAATGTTCAATATTTATATATCTCTTTCATTGAATACTTGTTCTTAAAGAACCAAATTCAACACTCTTGTCCCTGAAGCACTTAAATCCTGCAGTTACAAAATATTTCGAAGGCTTTTGTTGCCGCAATACGCGTATACAAGGTTACATAAGTTTACAGAAATGTAGTATGTTCATGAGTTAAAACTAATGGTAATGTTAATCCCTAAAAGCTCGTGAACATTTGTTTCAAATAAAATGGGGAATGTATGAGTTGCTCCAAAAATGATCACGTGACCATTCTACGATTGATTTGAAAGTGTCCGCCCTGCTGTTCGAAAACTATTCTAATAGTACTTATATCGTCTTCGATTCGGTGTCTTGGCTATTCAATTGAGTTCTAAAATTCAACATTCGCACATCCTTAGAAATTAAGCAAATAAGTAACCATGCTTTAAGGAGACACCACGAACAGAATCGGTCTGCTACGCAATACACATGGCAACACCATGGTGGTCTAGTGGCTAAGGTACTCGGCTGCCAACCCACAGGTCATGGGTTTGAATCCCGGCTGTGGCGGCTGCATTTTCGATAGAGGCGGAAATGTTGTAGGCACGTGTGCTCAGATTTGGGTACACGTTAAAGAACCTCATGTGGTTGAAATTTCCGGAGCCCTCTACTAACACATCTCTCATAATCATATGGTGGTTTTGGGACGTTAAACCCCTAATATCAATCAATCAATACACATGGGTGTAGCGTCCTGTAAGACATTCTTTGAGGTGTTCCAAAGCTTTGCTAGTAGGACGAGCGTGGTTTAGTGAATCTCAAGATTGTGTATGTATTGTGACACCATGATGGTGTTCTCGATGAGATGGAGATGTTTTTCTTGAACTCCCGGTGATTGTAGGCCACAACCTTGTCGTTTACGTACTGAAAAGTCATGACAGCTGTGAAAACGGCAAATAGTGCTATGGATGCATCTATATTCTCGTGATGCTTGCATAGCGCACTTGTGCTAGACAATATTTGTAAATAGTTAATATATTTAGATACAGAACGTGGATGCAGAGCCTGAAGGTAGATAGCGATATTGCTGAAATTTGGCTACTAAAAATACCCCCACAACGCAATGTTTCTAACAATGGGTAAAACTCGTTGTTTGTGACAATGGTGCCTATTTATTACGAAATAAACAGTGTTTGTAAACAAGGATGTTTCTGAGTTTCAAGTGAATTTTTCATCTGAGAAAAGTCTGGGCGTGACAATCTCTTCAGATGAACCAGGCCCAGAGGAGGAGGAAGTGAGTGAGGATGAGAAGATTATGATGGTGATAATGAGCGTTTGGACTTCACTGATGCGAAGTGCTGGCATATAGCTCGCGGATAGAGGGCATGCCAGGAGCTTGCCATCCTCAGTTCGGCCTAGAGGTTCATGAATTCTCAGAGCACACAACAGCCAGAATCTGAATATACTGCTAGAACTAACCTGACACTCTTGGCTATGTAAAATGGCAGGTCTATGGTCCAGTGGTAGACCTTGTCGATATAACCACGCTCACTGTCCCGTAACTTCACCGCCGCCTTGAGCCTGTCCAAGGGCATGATGAACCTCAGGCAGTTTGAGAGTCCGTCTCCTTGCCAGCGGTGACCATTGATCTGCAGCTTCTTGTACATACGTGCGATACTCTTAAGGGGGTCATTCATACCCACGTCAAAACCTGTAAGGAAAAAAAGTAAATGATCTTTACAGGGCTTCAAGAGAGTCACTCAGTCTTTTATGTGCTTTCCAAAACTATTTTAAGGCGAAAGATACTTTTTTATTTTCAGTTGATTTTTTGATCATTCCTACCTGAAAACTTTCAGCATGTAACGTTGTTTTGTAGTGTTCCGGGTATTGAATGCATTGGATACGTTTTGCGATTAGCGTGCGCTCGGCATGCCTCCGGAATCGGCTCAAGTTTTACAAGCGTCAGGGTCATGTAGTTACATCCTCAAATGACGTGAGCTAATGTCAGGTCAATGGGAAGTCGCGAGGTCACTAATATGATGCCACAAATTTCTATGGTAAAGCGTCAGGCTAATGTCATAGGGTAGCATCAATGCTTGATGACGATTTTTTTTTTTGCATCACACATGTTGACGACAACTCCACCGACGGCACTTATCGTGTTTGACGAGGAATCTAAGGCTTTCACCTTAAAATGGCATGGTATTAGAGAAGAATAACCTGGGTGCTATGAACATGCACTGTCGTGTCTGCTATCTGGTAGGCAAAGTCTCACCGAAAAGTATGCAGACATTTGAACGAAAATCAGCGTGCACAGCTCTTCCCTGTTCACGCGACATCTTCCACTCTAATGACGTCACATGGGCGTGGTACATTCTGTGCGAAGACACCAGAAGAGCTTGGAGCTCAAGATATTCTATGAAACCAACGCCCCTTCTAACGTTTCAATGCCAGTACAAACTCTCGTTCCGCTATGGTAGCCGTCCGTCCGCCTCAGTTCATGGACGAGTCGTGATGCGACGCCCCATAAAGGGTACGGCTGCTTGTTTCACAGGTGGCTCCGAGCGCTTTGCCATGCAGATGAGATAGACGTGCTTTTCCTCTCCAACATCATGCATCTGTCTGATTTGTTCCTTCAAGATTCGTTCTTGGGGCTCGAAGCATTTCTAAGCTTGCAAATGAACACTCGTGCCTTCTACCAGAAGCCCATTACCCCTGCAATGTCATGAGCAGCAATGATCATTACGAGATATAATTTCAGTTCAGTGGCTAGTGAAGTGGAGTGTCGCATAGAGATGTTGGCTAATGCTGTGCGTAAAAGACATAACTGTGGTATATTTGAAGCCCCTACTCCCCTCTTACGGCTGTCTCAGGAACAAAACTGTCATCATCTGCTGACTTACTACACTCCTTACCAAAAAAAAAAAATCCTCTCCTACATTTTTCTAATTAACTCGTTCCTGTGCTTGCTGCCACCACGTTATTCCAACGAGCTTCCTAATCTCATCTGTCCACCTAACTTCTTGCTTCCCCATCACGCACTTGCCTTCTTTAGATTCTAGACTATTACTATTATTGAGCAGTTGTTATCTTGCTTTTGCAATACAACCCTCGCTTCCGTTCATTACTTTTTAGTGTCGGCTAAGAAGCCTTTGACAACCATTTCTTCCCTGATGCACTCTGACTTGATATAAGTCACATAAGCTCTCACCCATGCAGTTTTTCTTTGGCTAGCTGCATCATTTTCAATTTAAATTTTCGCAATCAGAGAAGTGGGGCTCTTTCAAGAAGCTAACATCATGACTGCTGAAAAAAGTATTACTTGCGCTAAGAAGGATATGCTAGCTATCGTTTCGATTAAAAAAAGCAATACATATCAGCCGCCTTTTAAGATGCGATGTGCATACCGATGTTCCGTAAAAGAGCTCCATGTCCTTTCTTCATTAAATATGAGATGGCCCCTCTGGTGACGTCACGATCCTTGACGTAGCCGATGGAAAGTAATACGTTCATTCTGTACCTTGGATGCACTGCGTGTACGTAGTTAAAGAAAAGATTACATTAATCAATCGCTGGAAAGCTGCACCACATAGCTTAAGACCAACATCAAGAATCATCAACCTTTGAATTGAATTGAATTGAAGTTTATTTGTCCTGAAATTCTTACAGGATCGGGACTAACCTTAAAATTTCTTGCCGAGGACGAAAACTACAAAAAATTGGTATCCTGCAGTTCCATACACCTAAAACAGTACAAACTAATTACAGCCAAAGGTTCGCCTACCTCTGCTGACACTCGGCGAGTGTTTGTCTGAGTCAGAGGTGTGCGCTTATTGTCTTTGTGGCTTTCGGCTTGCGTTTGAGTACTGAGAAGGTGACAGCTACCTCGCACCTGCTGGCGTTCTGCCTTCACGTTTCTCTTACGTAAATCTGCGTCTCATTCCCGGATTTGGTATTTTGATATCGTTTCGCTGGCTCGGACAGACAAATTAGCCTTTCGAAGATGCTGGTGCCTATGGGCAAGCGCACTCTGGCGTTTGAAACATGCAGCAGCATGTTTGACGTCCATGACGGGAAAGAACATCCTAATTTGCGATGCAGTGCGGCCTCTTTTGACCCCTTTTGGTATTGATTTTGACCTTCAGAACCCTGGTTCGACGTATTTTAGTATTTTGAGCATGACCCCAAATGACGACATGAGACTGCAGTCAGGGCCCTAAAGAGTTTTGCACTTAATTGCAAATAGTTTGTTCGCACGGGGTGCTTATTTTATTTGCACGTGTGACCAATTGCGTGATACTGTAGCTATATTTTATTGTCAGTCTATCTCTCATATTATCATGTCCGTGTGCTTGCAATGATTCGTTCTTTACTCTTTGATGTATACAAGAATACGTGCATATCCTATTTGATTGATATGTGAGGTTCAACGTCCCAAAACACCATGATTATGAAAGACGCCGTAGTGGAGGGGTCCGGAAATTTCGAATACCTGAGGTTCTTTAACGTGCACCCAAATTAGAGTACATGGGCCTACAACATTTTCACTTCCATCGGAAATGCAGCCGCTGCAGCCGAGATTCGATTCCGCGACCTGCGGGTCAGCAGCCGAGAACGTTAGCCTCTAGACTACTGCGGCGGGGCAGGTGCATATCTGTACAAAACCAATGGCGCCCTTTTTTCACTGTAACAAAATCATTAAATCAATTCGAGCACATGCTAAACGTTCTGTCTACTGTGTTCGATGAACTGAATCATCTCCGAGGAGAATTCATAGAGTTCTTCAACCAAGTCAATAAGTGAAAGCATATACTAAATACAATAAACTTGATGCACGTGAATGCCATTTTCGTCGTTTCAATATTTGTTAGTGCTAGAAATCTACTGAATATCAAATGTAGCTGATCATTGGCTCATATTAAGATGGTTTCAAAATATTGCAGGGTCTTAAGTTGCAATACCTCGAATAGTTCCTCAGTGTATGTCTCAGTTCGTCTGCAAACGGTTGTGTTGGTGCGCGTTCACAAAGCAAATCGCAAATTTGCAATTTGCTTAGTGGACAAGCAACAACCTCTGGCGGGAGTCGAGCCCGCATGCGCGATCTTGGTAGCACGATGACAAGCGGCTGATAAGGCTGATAAGGGAGAAGAGTCACCCACCGTCTTTCCAAAGGTGCTTCACGAGATGATAGGCAAGCGTCACACCCGCTACTGGCTTTGCAGATTTCGAAAGCTTCGTTGTCTTCAAGTCGAGGAATAGAAGACTCATTTGACCTCTGAATCTTGAATCTCCTGCAATAAAAAGCGTGAACACTGACAAATGCCAGGGCTTCGTGTGTTTAGAGCAAACACTTAAAGAAACGCTGTTTCACTCCAACACGGAAGCAGTGAACGTGACATCAACACACTGGGTTGTTCTGGTAATGAAGCTAGCAGTTAAGTTCTTTAGCATCCTGCTTCACATAACTAAACTAAATACTGGCCCGAGTAAGGGCGGTCTTTGCAGCGAGTGAAGTGACCTTCACGCCGTCTCTCACTTCAGTGCCAACTAGGCGTTGAGCCACGTAGAAAGATATAAGCTGTCTGTAAATTCCTGTCAATATAAGGCGCCGACGCCTGGTGCTTCAGAGCTGTTCAAAGCCACGCATAAACCCGCCTTCTCCCCATTCTCTGGGATCATTCATGAACATTACACGTGAAAAAAGGTGGTCACAACAATTCCTCTCCATTTAAATGTGCGAGTGAAAACATGCACTCACACGTTCTCAGTCGGACACAAAGCCAATGACCCTCGTGACCATGCTATTGCCTCTGGACTTTATACAGAATCGCACAGTGAAGGTGACGAGAAAATTGTGCCCTTGAGTGTCGATATAATTGCTATGCGAATGAAACGCGGTCTTGTACAAGAACCAGGTAATCACGCACAACATGTAATAGGCACTGTGAGAAAAGCTTTAAAAGTAGTATTTGTTGGTTGAGGTACAGAAAGAGGAGAAAAGAAAACCTCGCAATTTTTGACACAGTGCAGCTTATTAGTAAGTGCACTAGTCGAACTTGAAGAAGTGCATGTTCACTAAGTGGGAAGATTTGAAAAAAATCTGTGTCATAGGTACTTATTAGAAAGTTAACTAGGTAAAGGTCGATGATAACATCAATTATTTGCGATAGTTAACGTGCCACAACCCTTATATGACTATAAAGTGCGCTTTTATAGAAGATTGCGTAAATTTTGACCAATCGGTGTTCTTTAACGTGCACTGCCATATCGCAGTACATCGGCCTCTGGCATTTAAACTTTTTCGAAATGTGATGGCCATGGCTGGGACCAAAACCATGACATTCGGGTTAACAGCATAGTAACGTAACGGCTATACCAACGTGGGTAGACAGATAGACTTGAACTTTTGTATTCTACATCAGTCCATTTTTGGGAGCGGCTTTATTGTTCAGTCCTCACGTTGTAAATCTAGTATAATAGATTTCCAGCATGTCAAAGCCTCTATACTCGTTAACCTAGTTTTGTAATGACGTTGTTCTTAAAACTAAACTACTGGAATTAAAAGTCCCTGTTTCGACGCCCCACCGGATAAATATTTTTTCTCGTTTTTTTCCTTTGCAATTAACCAGGATTAATTTTAAAAGGTCATATTCGTGACGGAAGTACGCCAGTGGAGCCGTGGTGGACGCCGGCAAAAAAAACACTTCCGTATTAAAAATAAGTCACAGGTTTGCCGCAAAGGCGAAGCAATGAACGCTGTAGCAACAAATTGGAAGGTCACGCGCAGAGTTGCAAGCAGATTGGAACGTGCCCCGCTTTTCTGACGCTAAAGAGCGCATGAAACGTACTCACTGGTACAAATTAACGTGAATTAGCGTCTGAGTTGTTGCTTCGCAGCGTCTGAAAAACGCGCCCTTTTCGCAAATGGAGGCTGTGCAACGATTGCAGTGACCTTTGTACGCTCGGTAACTACAGCGGAATTGTTCCGACGAAACTAAAAGGCTAGCCAAGACGCACAATTCTCTTCACTGCAAGATAAGGGCACGCAATCGAGCGTACACCCCCTTATTTTCTATGCGGGCCAAAGCACGCGTGGGAGATGAGAGCCGCCGTGCGCTCACTGCGCCATCATGCTGACAATGCTGAAAACATGATAGTTCCCCCCGAGATGTCCGCCAACAGCGTTAAGTGGTAGATATGAATAGCTTGCCGTTTGAACGTTGAAGGATATATATATATATATATATATATATATGCATGCTCTCACTGAAAGATGAAAGAGACCACTGAAAGAAGCTTTAGAGGTCAAATGCGCCTCTCACTCACGCATGGAGGTAACATTCCGAAGGTGTTCTAGGAACTTCGAAATCGGCGTTCTCTTAAAGCAGCCCCGGAAGCAGTCGCATGGCATTCCGTGGTAAGTCCCGACAACAGTGCCATTCTCGGCGAATTCGATGTCAGCCTCGAGAGCATTGGAGCCCTGGCGGAGGAATTGGTCTATCTCTTCGACCGAATTGACCATGTGGCCGATGATGTAGAAGGGACGCCTGCCGTCAGCTCTCCGTGGCGGCGTAGGATCATAATATTGTGGCTGCGTCAGCTGTAGTATGAGAGAATCAATTATTGAAAAATGGCTAATTAGAGTTGGAGAGGAACTCTGCGACATTCAGCAGCTGTCCATCTTTTAACCCTTATTTTCTTCTACCTCTCCTATATGAATATATAAATAATTACTATCATCTTTATCTTCAACTAGAATAATTATTGGTGTACTTGTGCAAGCCTCTATACTGGTTTTTGTCCACAATCACTCAAACCATATAGCGGCGATCACTATTGTTGGCCGGTGAATGCCGCCACCAAGTATCAATACAGCGCTATCGGAATATGGATGTTCCGCACCTGTTTCGTAGAGCGAATATCCAGGCGTCGCATTTAGCACATGGGCAATTTTTTTTGTGTGCTGTTGGCAGATATGACTCAAAATGCCGCAAAAATTTGTTTCTGCATGTATGTTCTACAGTTAATGTTTCCTATAGGGAGGTACAGCGGTTTAAGTTAGCTTATAGATTTTATATCTGTATGGCTTGTCTCGTTTTAATCCTTCGCATTCAAAGCAATAAGTTTTGAAAATGACACCTCTTTAGAGGTTTCCCAACAACGGCTCGCTTGAAATGGTTTAGCCTTACTCTTAAGCTTGGCCCCTAATAAAATTTTGTAGGGCAATGAGTCACCCACATTATGTTTTAGGACTTAGGCTAATCATAACGATGTTAGGAATACGCTAAATATTGCTACTGTAAAATGCTGTCTAGTCATAAAAATGAGTCTTACATGAGATGACTATCAACTGCATTGTTTGAGTATACCTGCAACAAAAATTCTCGCGATGAAGAATTAGCAACCTGAACAAAATTTGATTGATTTTTTATGAGAGAAAACAATGCTGAGGGCTCGTGTGGTCGATCATTTATTTCACTGGCTAAGTAGATCTGAAACGTATAAAACCATTTCAATAGCTGAATAAGGGATCTTATTTAGAATGTAGTCACAACACAAGATCACTTTGAACAACCTGAACGAAGCAAAAGCTTGATTGAGGGCGCACAGTTTCTGCATATAGGAGCAGTTTGGCGACAACACAGCTTTTTGTAAAGGTTCACGTGAGAACGAGTTTTAAGCGAAACAACACGAACCTATATCGAGCTTCAGAGAAACAGGAATACAGAGTACATCAACCAACAATCCTCCATCAGGCCATAAGAAATTTCATTGAACTGTGCCTGCTCACACTTTTATAAGTGAGTGAATGTTTTACAATTTCAATACGCGTACGAAATTGTCGGAATGTTTATGAAAGACTGGGAACCATCTTTGAGGTCCGTTTTGCTGATTGTAGCAGCATGTCTTCACCAACTTTGTTTCATTTAGATATTAGGTAATTACATTGTTAATTGAATTGTACTGTGATTCATTGTGCTTGAGCTACAGCTGTAGTACCTAAGCTTACATTTATATTACTATCCAAAGCCCTTTGAGATTTACTAAGAAAGGTAATCCCCAAATAAAAAAAATTATCTGCCCAAAAGTTCGGCATATACAAGTTTTCTTACTACGCAATTACCTCCTCCGCATGGTCAAACAAAAAATGATTCGACTATTTGCATGTACTGAGCTAATCTAAGCGTCAAAGGAGAGTAGAAGCCACGAACATGTGGACATTCTTTACGAGATAGCACTAAAGAGCTCGTTTTGCAGAAATCGCGTTGTCGGCTTCGGCGTCGGTATCGGTGTCATTGGTTGTGTGCACGTTTGTGCATGACCGAAGAGCCGAGGAATATGCAAATAAATTAAATACTAAAAAATTCTGGGTCTCAGTGAGGATCGGACCAGGGTCCTTTTCATGGCAAGCAAGTGTTCTACCACAGAGGCATGCATATGCTTGGATGCACAGTGAAATACCTTCTCTGCTTGTAAATTCAGTGAAAGTAATGCTTTCTCAAGGCTGGTTTTAGTTATTGTTCAATGCTGGCTTTAGTAATTGAACAGTGGGTAATGTATAATCATAAAGAGCCTTGACAGCACAAAAGAAAATCACTGTTGCAGCGATCTTAAACTACAGAGTACTGTGACAAGCAATGGCGGGACATGGACTTAAACACAGTTCAATAAAGTTTGCCAGCTTCGAAATCATGTAATTGAAGTGGTCGCATAAACTTCGAACAGAGATGGGCTTCTTCCATGTGCACAAGAACGAAATACCTCTCCTTGTTCGTTGAGTACTCGTGATAAACAAGTTCCTAAGTTGCTCTCACATCCCTTTTGCTTTCAGACCACGGGACTCATTTTTTCTTCCCACAGATGCTTCACTGAGAAGATGCAGCAGATGTTCAATGGCGACACGATAATGTGTTTTGAGCACACAACAACCAACCAAAAGAAACTAGCGATACGATCGAAGAACTATTTCGTAGTGCAAGAAATTTACGTTCCAAGACTTACAATAAATTTATGCAAATTTTTTTTGTTATCTTGTCTAGTATTTTTCAGCGTGATAATCACTGGCTATAAAGTACTGCGAACGTCACGTTACAGCATTGCACCATACACGCTTAACCGGTATCTATTCGGCTACAGGAGAAAAAGTTGCTAAGTTCATAATACAACGGGCTACAACCGCTCCAGGGAGCGCGTATAGAGAGATGCGCGACCTCCCGGCGAGTCACAAATGTGGCGTCATCCAGTCCCTCTTCGGCCTTATCGAAAGAGGGATGGCGTCATCTTCAATTTACAATCCATGGGCGCTAACGCACCCTTTAACTTGTAGATACGGGGCGCGTTAACGGTACAAACTTAATGCGCTCGCAAGACAATCTACATCCGAAGCGCTGTGATACTGGTGACCCGAACAATCTTAGAATGACGCGGGCCCTTGAGATAACGTCAAAGTGATGTTAACCGTTACCTAGTGAACGGATTCGCAGCTGGGAACAAAGTGGTTCGCACTTGTTTCACACTTCGCGATGTAAAGTTAAGCTCTGCGAGTTTCGAGCTGACATACATAGCCAACACTCACTATACGTTCATCATTTTGATGCCTACGCTAACGGTTTGTTGTCAAGTTTCCTTACCTCTGCGCAACAGATCTTCAGTAACGCGAGGGAGGCTATGAGGAAGTAGTTGACTGTCATACTGATCCAGACCTGCGAAGCAATATAGAAAAAAAATGTTTACAGAAACTGAACCCTAACTCTTATGCATGGGCGTTGGGCGTGTTAAGAGCGCATTTCGCAGAGTCACGAGTGTACTTTTAGATCAGCATCAATATATATTTAAAATGCGTGTCTTGCACTGCTGCGATACGTATTTGTTTCATTTCATTTCATTTCATTTATTTCCTCTCAATGCACAAGGCGTTACAGAGAGGAGTGGTGAAAAAACAAGTAACAATCTGTACAAACAAATGGAGCATGTTTAAAAAGGGTATGCGTTTATGGTACTCTTGAAGTTGGCTGGGTCAGTGATGGATGCGATGGAAGCGGGAAGGTGATTCCAGTCCGTGCTTGTTTTGGGCACGAATGAATTAAAATGGAGGTTTGTACGGCTGCTTGTAATTCCAACTTTGAAGTGGTGATCGCTGCGGGATGAAATGTAGGATGGCGGCAAAAAAAGCGAGTTACTCAGTGAGTGCATGGTATGGTACAACTTGTGGAAGAGGCACAAGCGCGAGATTTTGCGGCGAAATGATAGGCTAGGTAGATTTAAGGTTGACTTCATATGGGTTACGCTTGCTGTACGGGAATAGTTCGACAAAATGAAACGAGCGGCGCGATTTTGAATTGCTTCGATGCTACTGATATGGATGTTTACGTGGGGATACCATACAGATGATGAATATTCTAGCTTTGGTCGGACTAATGTTTTATAGAGCAGAAGTTTCAGTTGCATCGGGGCAAGGGAGAAGTTACGGCGTAAATTACCAAGTGTGCGGTTAGCATTGTTTTTAATAAGGTCAATGTGAGACTGCCAGGAAAGGTTGTCAGAAATTGTAACGCCAAGGTACTTGTAAGAGCTAACTTTAGTAAGGGGAGAACGAAGTATGACCTCCTTTGTCGTCATGATGCGTATTTGGGCGGTTTGTTTCTGGCGATCCAGGAAAGACAGTACAAGGATGTCAGCCAGATTAGTGAGTATGCAGATTCTCAAGTCTACGTGTTTGAAGATGACGTTTCATAGTTACTCAATTTTGAAAATTGATATCAGATTTTATCTGTGCACAGTATTTGTTTTGTAATTCATGTAGTAAGACATGCTTATTATTCTATGGGAAGTTTTTAAGTCTGCATCACTTTAGAGGAATAAAAGATGAGTCTAATACACGAGATGGTGCTAGCTCTGTAGGCTGTGATGAGTGAGTGAGTGGGAGTGTAACTGAGTATAAGTGAGTGAATAAGTGAGTGAATAAGTGAGTGAGTCAGTGAGTGGAACAACTTTCATAATAATCATCATCAGACTGACTGTGCCCACTGCAGGACGAATGCATCTCCCATATTCTACCTTTCAATTACATATCTCTGCATTTTTACAATAAGAAAATACACTACGTAATACTTACGCGTTGATGTAGCGCCTCAAATGTTCATAATATTTTCTTTATGATTGGGAACGTTGCCCGATATGAACGCAGCCACCAGGTCAAGGTGGCTGGGCGTTGTGCAAGAGCTTAAACTCTCGCTGGTTGGCTGAACCGTTTGACAGGCAAACATACTGACAGATAGGCCGAAATTTCTGCGGTGAAGTATCCCAAGAAAGGCTACCGTCTCTAAGAACACTTTGTTACTTCCTACACAAAGACGTGGATTAAAAAAAAAGAGGTCATTCATTGTAAACCCAGTTATCCCGAGTATAGTCATTCATCGAAATACGTTAACTACTTTAACAAGTTATGCAAAGGCAACTTTAGCGAGAGGCCGTTTTTACGCACGATTTCTTCATCGATGAGTCCACCATGAGCGAGGGATGTTATTTGCGGACTCTACCGGCTGCCCAAGATTGAATAGAGACTCGCGAACAAAAAGATGTGTGAGCTGTCGACTAGTGGGCCTTTTTCTGAGACAAGTTGACAGGCAGTGCTCGCCACAAATGCGGCAGAGGCATCACTCAAATATCTTGCTTGTTATGTATAACGAAACCTCAGTAGGAACTCACAGCTATTACAAGGTTTAGAACTGCCGATTGAGCACGCTGATTTATGAAGGAGCGTAACTGCATTTAAATAACAAAAAGGCTCCATACATCACCTTCACTACTTACTGATAAAGCCGCGTCAGTGACAATTGGATGCCGTAGTTTTCACATCAATCGATTAAATAGTCCAATAGAAAGTAAGGCCTACAACGCAGTCACCGTTCACACTTTTCTGGTGAGTTTGTGCTGAGAAGTGCGTTGCTGTACAGCACTCAAACAGAGAATCATCAGCAACCTTGGCACACTGTAAACATCGTCAAGCCTGACAACTAGATACCTCTAAGAGAAGATGACATTGTGAAGCAAACTAAAGAAATATGTGCACGGTTTCTTCGTATCGGGAAATATTTTCAGCATGGCATTGCAATTAGGATACTAAAGTGGCGTTTTTTAACTCTGTTCTTTAATGCGGATATTGCGTGGTACATGTTCCATGTTTCAACTGCTATTTAAGTTCGAGTCTTTGAGACTTCGGTATAACCTCGTTTATACGTTCCTGCTATCGCAATTATGAAAATTGAATCAAGCCAATTCGAATCATATGTGTTCCCGTATCGTACGTTCATATTGCGCTTTTTTCTTCGAAAAGGTATCAAAGAGGCTGAGCGGTATACTGTTGTGCGAACATTTGTGTTTTTATTATCCAGCATACTGCAAGCCTCATCAAATGGTCCATGTTTCCTATCGCATAAAAGAAGCTTTTACGATGAATGTCAACCACCCAACTCGACTTCATGCTCTATTTCAGCATATAAAAGGGTATAAAGGCTGATAACCTTCTGATTAGGATGTACGACAGCTTCATCTAGAGGGCGGAAGTGATCCAGGGTCACTGCTTACTACAGTTTTTCAAGCCACACGCGTTTTCTGAGGATTTTAAACTGCTTGACAAATTCTAGTTCGATGTGATTAGACTGGCAAAAAGAAGGAACAAGGCTTGTCGAAACGCATTTCGAATTTCCTGTACTGTCCTCGCGTAATTCGAACTTCTTTACACTAAAGCGAATGCGAACATCAGGGTTACACCACTGGCTCGACGTGTTCACAAAAGGCTAACTAGGATTTTAGGATCTGGGTTCAATGAACATATGAATAACGTTTTATTGTTGGAATTCGGCAAATATCTTGCTGCACTGCAAAGTTCAAATTTCAACTAACTGCGGATGAATTCTAAGAATATGTTCCTTACCTGAAGCGAGATTCAGGTCCGACTTATGTCCACAAAACACGCAACTGCTTAATCTCAGCTGGGCAGTAGAAGGATTGGAAGCTTCCAACTGTTGTCAGTTGTTTACACGTCATTTTGCCTCAATAGCTGTCTTGGTGTTCTCACAGACTGCACGTTTCGAAGACGTAGTGAAAAAAAAAACAAGAATAAGAGGCAAAGCACAGCAAGCTCGGCCAAAATATGGATCACCGGTACATCTGCGAATATGTGGTTTCCTCACATGAAGACGTGCGTCAAGGTCATCGTTTGTGCAACGACATTTTACCGTTATTGTCTTCTGAAACGGCACGTGTGGACAGACGAGCTATGTAGCTGCTGAGGCACAGTGGCTGTTTTTCTTGTCTGCTTGCTTCGGGAATCAGCGACACGGCCACGTGTGGTCAGAACCCTATAAATACGGTCACAGTTAAGCAGCCTTCAGCCTCTACTTGCGCCATTTGTGTTTCAACATGTAAGAGAAATTTCCAGAGCTAGTGCCTTGATTGTGTGGTCAAGATCACAGTGTTTTAAATATATGTACCCTAAACACTGAGTAAAGTTGGAAAAACATAGAGACTTTAGATCTTTATATTGTTTTGTCAACACATGCGTAAACCCTCAAGCGCTAGCTTTATAATGAAGTGTTCAAAGAACTAGTCTTTTATACTCAGGTCCCCTAAACAGAAAGTCGAGGTTAATGTACCACGTCCTTGTAGATGTGAATTTGTTGCCCCAAAATGCATATGGATTGTAAAAGAATAGTGCTATAGTTCTGTGGTTGGAACACTAGCGCTTCAACATTCAGAAACACTACGTCAGAGTTGAGGTGCATCAAGCCTTTGCTAATGATACCTTGTTTATCGAAGACATGGAGTACCAAGCACTAGAGCTTCGATTCTGTGGGCCGAATACAAATGCTCATGATACCCTTGCCGTCGCTATGTTATGATGGTTTCTTTCTATTCTTGCGTAGCATATATTAGGGCACATTTTTTCTACAGGTCCCTAATCTTTGACCAAAGCTGCTTTAGTCTTCACGTTCTCTTTCAAAGGCTCCGGATCGAAAATCTTAGTGTCTTCTGATATGGCGCCTCTTTCGAACTTTATAACGGGTAAATAAACAACCGAAAAAAGGGCTTAAAACTATCAAATGCATTGATTTTAATGGATGGCTTGTTTTCTGGCGGAAGTGGTGAAACATTTCTGAGTGAAGCCGTACATTAGCGAAATGGAGGAAAATGTTGAGCAACCGATGAAGTCTTTCCCACCAGCTTTGAGCTCAAAATTGAGCTCGGTATTCGAGGTAAGTCTTTATCGATGTCAAGTTCCCAAATTTCTGCTTCGTTTCAATGACATTGTTTCCGGTGTGTCTTTTTTGTTCACATTCAGCATTTAATTTTTTATATCTATATCAGGAAAGAAACAGTAAGAGAGCGAAGTGATGGGATGTGAACTGAAGAATTTCATTGGCAAGTTTGAATGAAAATTGAGAATGTCGACTTTAGTAGTGATTTTCATACTCCGTAAGTCGACAAACATTATTAGAAACTTTCGTTGTATCAAGTTAGAATAGATTAAAACAAAGCATGTAATTGAGACTGTGAGCACAATACTCGGGGTTCTGCGTCCCGCAACCACGATATGATTATCAGAAACGCCGTAATAGAGAGCCCCGAAAATTTTGACCACCTGGTGTTCCTTAACGTGCACAGGGTACGCGCCACAGGAGTTGGGTAAATCCTACTACACTAGGCACACTGGGACCATGAAAATTGAAGGGAATGGTTAGTCCAATGATCGTTTATGCACAGTTAAATTTTTCGCCTCCTATCCGAAGACTGTTATCATTTAAAACGCATATGTGCCACAGAAATTGGCTAAGTGCGTCTACACGCGGCTTCCTACAAAAAGAGGGGGCATGGTAATGGTTGGTCCGAAAAATGGCTTGTGCGTTAGCAGAGTCTCACCACTTTCACGTGACACGCTATGATTAGAATATGTGCTGGCTATACTGCCACCTAAAAGCCTAACGAAGCACGTTTAACAAAGAGCACTTGTACCACGTATCTGAAATAATTAAAAAATGAAAATGCGATAGACTGATGAAGGAAGGCCGTGAGATTTGCTGTTTGACCATTTTTCGAGAGATCCGCTCTGTTTGATCTGTTCTACAATATACCAGGTAAAAAAAAATGCCGCTTCACTACGGCGAAGTCCGAAGAAGTGCTCAGCACACTGCAGACACACCGTGATTACCCTTAGTAGAGTTCCAATTCCTCAATTTACCAAACCGTCAATAACGTGAGGTCTGAAGTATGTATCCAGATATTCCCTGGCACGAGTAGATTCCTAATAGGGAGATTTGCGATCCGGGTGTGCAAGATGCGCGCTACTTCCTGCGGTGATTTGTCGACCTCTTGCGGGTTATGGCAGTTGAGGTACGTGTCCCTTGCAGCGTGTTCTATCAGGTTGTTTCACCTTAAATTTTGCGCGACAGGAAATCCGGTGTGAGAGCAGATACCATATCAAGGTGAGGTGATGTGGCGCCCTCTATTGCGTGGTGCAGTAGTCTTCCGCATGTTTAAGAGCGTTTTTTAATAATCTAAGTTATTTATTGCAAATAATTTTATTTTATTATCATTTTATTTTTGACGTTGTTACCTATCTTCACGCGACTTTGACCATTGATAGCTTGTTTAAGTCCGGTACTGACCACTTGATTTTGAGCGTGATCACGGCACATGTGATCTATGGATAAACGAGTAGCCTGGCTGCAAAAGTTCTTGGCAATGAAACGTCTTGACAAATGAAAAGAAGGGCGACTGTTGTTGCCGGCGGCACAGTACCAGTTTTGTGTTCAATGCCTCAAGTCATCAGTAAACAGCATTTTTTCAGTAAGGAGCGAAAATTTCAGGAGCATTTTTCGGTGCTGCCAATAAAAAAAAACACAAGAAAGATACGAAGGTTGCCACTGCAAAATAAGAGGAGTGGAAAGAATGGAAGTTAGTAAAACCACGTAGACAGATAGTGAATATGTAGGCAATAATTGCGATACAAAGCACATCACAGGACCCATGTCAGTGCTACAGTGCGTTCCAGACGTTTGTTTTGCGTAAGAATAAGTAAACGTGCGGTGCCTGCGCATCTATTCCAGAGGTTACCAAAAATATAATGGCACCCCCACCAACTCAAGAAAACGCAGCGTCAAACAGCGCTTGTATGAACTTCACGACAGTGCGCAAGATGCGGCGTACAAAGAGCGGATGGAGGATGCCGAACAAAGACCGCAGTAAATAAATAAATAAATAAATAAATAAATAAATAAATAAATAAATAAATAAATGAAAATGTAAGTAAATAAATAATAAACTAGGCTGTTTCATAAATGATACTGGCATCCGCTGTGAATGGATATAGCACTCTCAAAGGTTGAAGCCGAGGAAACCGATGAAGCCCCTCTTCGGTATTTTTTTTTTTGTCGTTTGTGAGAAACTCGTGTGGCCTTCTTTCAGTCCCTCGACGTATACAGTGGGTTGCGGATGCCACGAATCAAAATCTGATGAGCCTTTCATCACGTCACAGTGTTTTTTCCACGGGATTCCACAAGATGAATAGTCACTGCTCCACGGTGCATTTGCAGCTAAATTACGTTACGCCGCAGGATTCACACAGCGTACGCGCGAAACTCATCGCATCTTTACACCCAAAACCTTTCTCACACGCACCCAAAGCTGTTTCAAATTGCGTTGCACGGTTGCGAATGCTAATACAAGCTTTATCCACGCGCTGTTTCCAATCAATCTTTAGGCCTCGTCGCAAATCACACGGAGGCGTCCTCCACCTTATGGCTTGACGCCGGCAAAAGGGCAGCTCGCTTGATGTAGGGACGCCGTTTTCGAGGTCTTGGCGTGTTTACACGTAGTCCCGAGATAGATTGCCACCATGGGTCACAGACCCACGTCGCCTTTCCTTTCACCGCACGGACGGGCAGCGCGTCTCCCCATTAGGTCTCGCGCTCCCGTCGGACCCATAGCCAATGCAAATAGAAGCGATGTCTTCCCAAGCACGACTGTCTTGACGCGATTCTCCCGGAATTGCTTGCCGGCGGCCCTGACCGCGTGTAAGCTGTGCATTGCAGCTCGTGAAAACATGATGGGGGCGAAGCGGCAGTTTCCCAGAATAGCAGCACCTACGCAAATACCGAGAAAGTTTTGACGCGGTTCTAACTCGCACTACGTGTCGAAAATCTTGTGCATAGAATAGAAGGAAAATAATGTGTTTATGGCACGATAAAGTGAGAACGTTGAAGAAAAAGACGAAAAACGTCACAGCTTTGCCGCACAGGCGAAGCAGTGAATGCGATAGCAAGTTAAAACGTCACGCGAAGAATTGCAAGCAAATCGAAACGTGCCCTGCGTTACTCGCACACAAATGACGCACAAAATCTACTCATCAGTACAGATGAACGC